TGTATGTGTACGTGCGTGCGTGTGTGCACGAGCGTGGTCATGAGCAAAAACCCTTTGTTTACATCTGAAAAGCTCACTATGGTAGTATAATCGGAAAACAATTTGGTTTTTATTTCGCAAATAAAGATAGAATCTAGTAACCGTTTTAAAATAACTCTAACAACAACGACACCACCCAAAACAACAACAACAACAACAGCAACATTAACAACAATAACAACAACAGCAACAACAACAATAACGTATTAAAAAAGAAGAATGTGAGCGTCACAGTTTTCAGACATGTGTGTGTGTGTGTGTGTGTGTGTGTGTGTGTGTGTGTGTATGTGTTTGCACACTAGCGTAATCGCCTAAAAAAGAGAGGTGGGTGGAGGGCAGGTCAGCCTGCTAGACCCCACCCCACCTACACTTCCGTCATCAGGCGAGATCAATAGCATCCCAGGACCATAATGTCACGATACTGTTTCTAGTCATGATGAAGCTGGAAATCTATAATACCCTCGAAACGAAACGGAAACCGAAACGACACCGAGACGTAACAAATCAAGACAGCAAAGAACCTTAACGTTGGAATCCATCAACACGAAACGAAACCGTAATGGCCTATATAATTCCAACCACCGGAAAGTTGGCGAAATCTGGCCGTTACCGCGTGGAATCGTCATAAAACCCAGCTTAGTTTCGGGGTCGTTTCGTGTAGAAGGATTTTCAGCTTTGATATCACGTGACAGTCTCGATGAGCGCCCCAATACACAGAGCCCTCGTTTAAAAAAATGATTTTGTACCATATTTCTCCCCAGTTTCCTCTCTCAGGCCATACCCCCCCTCCCCCACACACACACTCCCACTACACATATTGATCAGAGGTGGGCTACAAGAGCTCCCCCTTTGCGCTTAATTGCTGGGACAACTGTCCCCGAATAGAGACAATCATAAAGAACAATATTTGCTGTCCGGACTCCCACTCACCTGCAGGCTGTCCGACGGCTCGCTGTTGTATCGACATCAGGACCGGGACCCCAGGAATAAATTTCCCGATGCACGTGCAGTCTCGCTCCATCTCTTCTTCTTCTCTCCTGTGGTGTAAGGACGCATGGCTGCTCACTCATATGGCTTCTCAAACACATCTCACGGGAAATGATGAGATGATCCGTGAATTCTTTCAGGCCAGGTCAAATTCTGAAAACACACCAAGCATTGTCGGGTAATCCTTTGACATTCAGTTGAAAGATTTTTATTAACGCGATACGTAGGCTATTGATGACTATCTGAATCAATATCTTATTTTTCGATCGTTTATCATTGTAAGATCCAGGCACACTTGTCAATACCCTTCTCTTGAAATGGTGCAGATAAAACCGAAGGCGTTTATCGTCCTTCTCTTATTGGAAATAACGACGACAATGGAATAATAATTTTAAAAAAACCCAAACATATGCGTGAAGCAAAGATAGACAGGCACAGCTGAGTACACGTAGTGCTAAAATAGCTCAATCTATGACATTAACATCAATGAAACGAAAATGACGTACAGACAAACATAATTGAGTCCGACGTCAGTTAAATCGAGCGTATCAGTCGATGAATTTATTAACGGTATTTACCAAACAACAGCCGGTGTGCCCCTTCTAATCTTTGTGTGCACGTCCCAATCAGCGTCCGTAGTCTAGAAAACTCATTAAATTCGTCTACAGACTGTCATCCAAAACTACCACAGCAGCGCGTTACCTCGACGAATACAGAAATTAAGCCTAAAACGTTTACGAACACTTATTTGTGAACACTTGTGGTCGGGGAGATCGACAGGCGATGAGTTGACGCATGCATCATCATCCCCCTCGACATCCAGTCAAGTTGAGAGATGATGGCTCGAGTTACCCGGCCGGCGTATTGATAAGAACGGAGTGATCGGGGGGCAGGGCGGTCCATGTGTACGCCCCCCTCGCCACTTACCTCGTCGTTTGGGGTGCCAGGCGGAGAAGGTAGCACGAAGGAGGGCCATCCCGCTGGTGCGCGCGCACATGCACGCACACACGGACACACACGCGCGCGCACACGTAGGCACGTTTGTCGCCGTGGATGGATCGAGCACACGGAGCTGGCGGTGAGGCGTGGTGCGTTATGGCGCGGTGGTGGTGGTGGGACGCGCACCGTGCGGCGGAGTG